ATCAAAAAGCAGAAATTGACAGAAGTTTTATCATCAAAAAGCAGAAAAAAAGCAGAAAGTATATGTTTGATATAAAACTGTTTTTAAGTTTTGTTTCAGCGTTGTAACAAGGCTCTTTCACATATAAATCTAATATTTATTGCTCAAAATCAAGAAAAAAAAACTAGTTAGACAAATAAATATAATTATTGAACACATTTTCTTTTGAATGTATACTTTTCATTTGATTTAATAGCTCGTAATAAATATTCACTACTTAATATATATTTATATAATTCAGTACATGATAAAGTTGAATTTAAACGTATTTTTAATTCAGCTGATATAAGTTCTGTTGTCATACGACTTCTCTTATCATTTAATAAATGTTTCATTTGTGAGAATGCTGATTCGACGTAAGCATTGCTACAAGGTAATGAATATAAAAAACAAATGAGTTTTTCGAAATTTGGTGATTTGGTGAGAGAAAGTAATAACATCCATAATTGGTCAGATCTCACTCTCTTGATTCCTGTTGAATAATCATCATCAACGTCTGTTACATCATCACATATGTTTGCTACTGTTATATCATTTTTTTTCTAACAAATGCTTGAACTTGATTAAAAATTGGAACACTTTGATCTGATATAGTTTTAAATATTAATTTTATGTTTGTAAATTCATCGAATAAACAATCTTCATTCAAGTCTTTTATTTTTAACATATCAACAAATTGAATAACTTGATTCCATGTTAAAGCTTCAATATTTTCGTTCTAAAATAATTTATTGTTCGATAAAATACTACGTTTTGATCGAAATAAGAGTCAATGTACGAAATAATATCACTTAAAAATTCAATAAATGATGTCTTTAACATATTTTGTGTGTCAATTGGTAAACGTGCTAATCGATATCGACAAGCCGCACCAAAAAATTGTGAATCAATACGTTCTTGTAGTTTATTTTTTATGGCTGTGATTATTCGAAATAAATCGACAGCTGTTGTATAATAGCGTTGTAATTCGAGGCTCTTCTGATGAATTTCAAATAATACATGTTGCAAAAAACTTAAAATGCACGGAACTTCATCACCCTCAAAAAATTGTTTTATTTACAATGGACAATTTTCGTGTTGTTCCAAGAAATATTTCTTTACCAGGATAAATACTTCTACTAATCCTTCGATGGATAAGTATAGACTTAACAATCACAGTTTTATATGTTTCAATATTACCTACAACAATAATTGAAAGTCTTGTAAATTAGATTAGTATATAAGCAAGACCAAGTGACAAAACATTTTTACTTTAAAATCTTGTTCATAGAATTCATAATATTGTTGTAGTTCATTTACTCGCTTTGCAGAACGTGAAAAATGAGAATATATAGAAAGTAATATTTGTTCAATATCAATTGTCAACACAAGATGAGCATGTTTAACAGAATTGTGTAATATATGATTGTAACAATTGCCTAGTAGTAAAAAATATAAAACATATTTTTACTTTAAAAAAGAAACAACGATCTTTTCTAACAACAACAGAACATATATGGTATAGAGGATTACTTAGTTTGAAAGGACTCAAAAATTAATTCTTATCACGCATAATTAATTCCTGATGACCAAACTGGCAAGGTCTATTGAATTACAAAGATGCATAACTTTCTTAATAAGCTAAAATTACCGTACCTTTCAGAATATCAGGTACTTCATCTTTAAATAATGAATAAACTGAATGATTATGACCCACATTGACGTTCGTGTTATCAGCTCCTAATACTGTTAATCCATGCATATCTAAACCATTATCCAAAAGGAATTGACGTGCATTCGCAAAAATTTTAATTGCTGATTCATCAGCATCATCAATTAAATCAATTATTCCTAAAACAGTAAAAAAGGATGTCCATGAACTATAAGTTGAACAAATTCAACAAAAAAAACAGACCCCTAGAGAAAGTACTGAGTTCAGGGTACCCATGTACTGAGAAAGCTCTAGCAGGGTACCCAATATGGGTACTTTGAAAATTCTCAGTAATTTTACTGATGTATGTACTGTTTGGGGTACCCGCAAAAGTACATTCACTGAATAAGTACCTGCATGGATACACAAGTCTGTAACTTTACTGAGCAAATCTCGACAGGGTATCCTAAATTTTTCGCGTTCTGTGTGGCGACTATTCATTCACCGTTTTCTTTTTTACGTACCGCTCTATATAAACAACTCGATAAATCATAAGAAAATAATCAATTTTCATACTAGTTTTTTCTAAATTATTTGTTGACTATTTCTTAGTCGAGGAAATGCCGAGCTTGGTCGTAAATTAAGATCGGACTACCCTGAAGTGGTCTACGACCAACTCAAGTTGAGTCGGATCCCGACATTGTTCCTGCTAAGTTTTTAGAATTGAAAAAATTAAATTGAATAAAGTAAAAAAAAATCTAGTAAATTATCTCAAGAAAAAGAAAAAATTTTAAAAAGTCAAAGATCAGGTTCGATCCTGAACATACTGAAAATTTGGTAACAGGGTACTTAGAAATACTATATAATGGTACCCAATTCAGTACGTGATCAGTACCTTTAGGTACCCAATTACTGTGCATTTTCCAGCAGGGTACTTGCCAAAGTACCACTTAGGTACCTGTAAGTACCTGCAAGTACTTTGGTACCCAAAAGTTCCTGTGACATACTGGTATCAGGGTACTTTTTTGGGTACCCTTAACTCAGTATATTCTCTAGGGGACCTTTTCTAACACCTGTAACAGGCAAAAATTGAACACAAAATGGAAATAATTTTGTATTTTCTTTATTACTAGCATCATATAATAAAGAAAAATATGAAGACTTTCAAATCATCAAGTAAATGTTGAGTAAAACATGGCGCTAATGCGTTTACAGCAATGGATGTTGATTTGGTTCGAGCACATGACAAACTATTTGCGACTGTTGAAGATGCAAATGTTGTTTTACATACATTTGTCAAGCATTGTTGAGATAAATATGAATGTCCATGTTTCACACCATGATATAATAAAGTACATTCAGCTGCAGCAATTTCATCTTTTTCTCTGGAAGGTTTCATAGTATTTATTATTAACTGTTGATTCACATCAAAAGACTTCATATTGTTTTGATGTTTCTGAGTCTTCATATGATTATCTATGTCATTTTTGCCTCGATAATGAATAGAAAATTGCTGATTGCAGACTATACATCTTGCCTGAGACGAATCCGATTTATACTCTTTTAAATATCGTTGATATTTGGCAATTTTTAACCATTCTTTATTGAAAACGCCTTTATTCCGTTTCTTTTTATTTTGTTGTACCATTGATTTCGATGGTAAATTTTCGACAGTAACCAGAACTTCAGTTTTATCTTCATCATCAGCCGTTTTTTCATCAACATCATCATTTAATTTTTCTGCATCAATAATATTACTAATCATATTAATTAATGACGTTGGTCAAGTAAAAACAAGAATCGCAGATATTTATTTGTATAAATTAGATAAATACAGTTAAGTATAAGATGTGATGGATGAAAGAATATTGTTACTGGTTTTTATTAGATAAACATCGAGTATATATACATGGAAGAGATAAAGAAATTATTCAAGGGAGAACACAAGAAGCTTCGCCGTCCTTTTAGATAGTGAACAATAAGAAGAATTAAAACAGTGATCATTTTTATTGAGAAGAGTCGTCAGTTAGAAAAAGTCGGTCAGACGAGCAAGAACATATGGAAACAGCTGGATAGAAAAAAGAAAAGAAAAGAACAGGAACATCTATATAACAGCTGAACAGAAAAGAAAAGAAGGTGCTATATAACAGAAAACAGAACATATGATGAAAATGAAAATATAGGTAAAAAAACGAAATGAAAATGAAAAATATACATTGGTAGTTTTTCACAGTCGGCGGAAAATGATAACTTTTTTAATAAAAGAATTAGAGTAAAACAAAGGCACCAGTAAGTATTGATAAGAATTTATCTTTATACTTTTGAAAATGGTTCTTCAAATCTAAAAACATTGGTTGAAGATATAAAAAGCACAATATTAAAAAAAGCAGAAAAAAACCCAAAAAGCAGAAAGGACAGAAAAAAAGCATAAAAATCTTCAAAAAGCAGAATTTTTCTGCTAAAAGCAGAAAAGGTGGCAACTCTGAGTGAGACTAGGTTCTTACTTCATAACTGTAATGATTAAGAGATAGACACGACAAATACAGGGTTTCTTTGAGTTTTAGAGGGTCAAGAAGGTGAAGAATGACTCGTGCCGGTTGGTTCGGTCTGGTCTGATTATTCAGATCGGTACTGGTAAAGAAAAAACTCATACCGGATGCAACTATAGGTTCCGTTCAAAGAAGTCGATCAACTATTGCAATCATTATTAAAGTCGAATATTCATTTGTTCGTGTAAGATTATTTTTGAAAATCAATTGTGTAAAAGTAATTTTACCATATTATGAATTCTACATTTCTTGCACAGCTTTGAATAAGCTTATCTTTGTTATTTAAAAAGAGTTGAAAATCCAGAAAAATTTGTCTTGCACACTTCTACTCTGAAAAAAGACGCATTTTTTACATGTCTTTTAAAGTATCATTGCTTATCTGCACCTGAAATGTTATCAGCACAGCAGAACACTAGAAGTCTCAAAAGGTTATCGATCGATCTCTCTTGACTTTTACTACACTTTGAATCTTGATGACTTTTTCAAACAAATAAGAAAGACGATCGTGCAGCTCTTAGTCTTGACAATTGTGTCATGCTTTATTTTATAATTTTACTGGTTGTGAGTGTCGGTATGGGTGGATGTGAGCTTCTGTTTATGAAAACCCACACCCCCACTTATTTCATTCTAAAATTAGGATTGAAAATGTTTGAAGAAAAATTTTTAAAAATGAATTCAATCAATTCTGTAAACATTGTAACAAAGCGCCACACAAATTTGAAAAAACTGAAGTAGCAGCTTATAGTTCTAAATTAACCCTTCCTCATAAAAGAAACTCTTAAAGAAACAAAACAATCAATATTATTAATAAATATTTTCTGCTTTACAATTTAACATGATTCTATTGTTCTTTGCAGATAGTGAGTGTGAGTGTGCGTCGACATGGAGTGAAGATCTGCATCCATATAATTCCATACATTTATCCACAAAGTGTGAATTGTTTGCGTGGTAGGTGAAGATGTGAGTTTCTTGTTAGGAAACGAATCTCTTTTCTTAGAAATAATTGGTTATGACATAGAAAAGTATTCTTAAAATCAAGTTCTTTGAGAAAATAGGTTGTTGACGAAAATTGCTTTGTTCAAAGTCGATTAAACAATTTCTCAAAGCCAGAAAAACTGTGAAAATTTAGGTTTTGTGGGAACCCCTTCATGCATTTCAGGAATCTTGTTGTTAATTTCGGCTAACAGAGATTTGAGACAGTAGATGGAAGAACATACTAGCAAAATTTTGAAAAATTTTGAAGGTTGGATGTGGGTCGATTGCTCATTTTACGAGATTAGTTGTTCGGAAGAACCTAGAAAAAAATATTTTTCATCACTTCACAAAGTTCGGGTTGAACATTCAGAAAATACACATGATCTGTCTGTCGAACAGCTTCATTGTGTCAGATATCAATATCCCGATGACACCACGCTTGTTAGATTGGTTTTTTGAGAGCTGTGACAAATTTTTTAAAACGATACTCGTTTTTTTCTCCTAATACGATTATCCGATTCAGTCAGATGTCGCTGTTCATTGACAATAATCGATTTTTTTTTCTTATACTTACATTGGCTGAGATAATTGTATAAAGGTAGTGTGAATCATATTATGCCGTGTCATTTAATGTGTCATAGACAAAAATTGCACAATATTATGATATGGCGCAGGAAGAATCTGGACAGATAGCTTTACAAAAAGGCAGTGAGCACACAAAAATACATTCATTCTTACGTTTCATATTTATTCCATTCAAAGCATTATACACAGATTAGTCTATAATGGCTGCTGCACTCCACATCGACAAGCCCGATCGTCCTGAATTAGTCAAACATGACTCATCGATTCTTGGTAAGCTTGAGAAAAGTGACCATCTAGTAATGTGACGAGACATTTGAAACTTTAGATCTGGCATTTGCAATGGATTGTACAGGTTCAATGAGCTCATATATCGAAGCTGCTACTAAAAATATCCGTTCAATTGTCGAAGAAATTGTCGTTAGCGAAAAGAGTGATGTTCGTTTAGCACTCGTCGAGTATCGGGATCATCCACCTCAGGTTAGATTCCACTACATAATGAAAATTAATAATGAACGTTATATTCTTTTATGGACTAGGACTCGACATTTGTAACGCGTGTCCACAACTTTACAAGCAAAGTAAAAGAGATGAAAGGATGGTTGGAGCAGTGCAAAGCCGATGGCGGTGGGGACGAACCTGAGGCAGTTGCTGACGCACTTCAGGATATTCTAAAATTATCATGGCGTCCTGAAGCTACCAAAATTTGCATTCTCATTTCGGATGCACCACCACACGGACTTGATCCTTCAGGTGATGGTTTCCCTAATGGATGTCCAGTCGGTTTAGACCCAATCAGAATCGTACGAGAAATGGCCGAGAAAAATATCACACTCTATACTGTCGGTGTCGAACCTCCAATAGGTAAGTTTTCTCTCGAAGAACATTTGAGAAATGTGTGAAAGTCGATTTGTTTCTGTTTCTATTCTAATTTAGTACCTTATCGTGATTTTTTTATGGCACTTGCATACATTACTGGTGGACAATATGTACCAATGGTGAATGCCAAACTGTTGGCTCAAGTGATCATTGGTGGTGTACGTGAAGAAATATCGTTGGATCGTCTTATGCAAGGTGCTCAAGAGGATATTGTTCGTGCAATGGACCAAGCGCACACCGATGGTCTCGATGAAACCGAGACGGCGGCACGAATTCGACATACTTTGGGTAGCAAAAAGATGCATGCTCATCGAATGAAAAATAAAGCTGGAGTGACGTCAAAAGAAGCTGAAGAATACTATTCGAAATGTGTTGACATGTCAGAAATGAAAAGCAAATACAAGAAAACGGTAATGGATTCAAAAGTGACGATGGACGATATGGACTATAAACTAGATGAAGAAGAGGAAGTGAGCACTGAACAAGCCAAACGAATTGTACAAAAGGCGAAACACTGGAAGAAGTAAACGCTAGCATTATCTTTGTTGACTTTTCATTGCATTTAATAAAGAAATCTTTTTAACATAGAATTTGGAGAAAATTCGAGCTACGGAAAGTCTTTATTCATTATAAAGCAGATCTTGCGCAGAAAGATTGAAGAATCTTTTTCATCTTTTCTTAACACGGGTGTGAGTTTCGATAAAGGGAACATGTGTACCCACATCCACTCTAAGAACTTATTTTTAACTGATCAAAGCATAAGCGAATAGTTTGAACGTGAAACACTTCAAAAGCGCTATTAAGAAAAAAAATATTTAAATTCAGAAATTAACAAAACAAGATCGATTTTACTTACAAATTTTAATCTCAATTTTATTTTATTTTATGAAGAAAAAACCTCAAAGCTCTCTTCTCTTTAATTTAGAATAAATTTTCACAATTTTTAAATATACCAATCAAAAATGTAATTCAGTTGCAAGGATATAATACTGAAATTCCAATCAAACAAGATTGTATCAAAAACGAATTCAAAATTGAAATATAACCGTTTCAGTCAATCCAAATAGGCTGAATCTTTTTAATTTATCTTGCAATTTTATTTACAGTTTATTTTTCATATAAATCAGGTGTAGATGTGCATGAGGAAAGAAATGACGTGTATGCTAAATCGCTGACTTCCTTTCAAAGCTCAGTATATTGATGCTTCTAAAGTTTTGAAATATTATAGCAGTTAGCTTTTAGAATAATTAGATTTCTAAAAATTTCCTATTCCAGAATCATTGTTATATCATTCATGAAGTTTATTTTTGTTGGCAAAAATTGAAAATTATTTTGTGATACTAGACAACTTTTTTTTATCTACGTCACCATCGAGAAAATTTGTCAAGTAAGATCAGCAATAATAATTAGTAGTAGTACTTGTATCACAAAACTAAAAAATGAGCCCATCTGATTGAATCGAAGTATAGATATTTGAGTTTGTTATCACAATGTTGTTTATAGTCGATCCTACATGTGTCAGACTCAGAGCATCACAAAGAAGTTGTCAACAACAGCTCAACTTAGGATCACATTGCATTATTTCGATATATATTCGATCAATATCATTTTTAACTTATTTAATTAAAATTAAGATCATCGATTGTCGAAAATAGTCGAATCTTTTTGCTACAAAAATTGGTTATATTTCACCAAAGTATAATAACTATGAGTATGATGATAGTTCAATCAAAAATAAAACTGTACCTATAGTCCCACCAATTAAAAGTAGAACTTAAATTTTTACGTTTTTTTGAAAATTTTTATATATGTTGTTATTCATCCCCCATTTGATAAGTATTGTATCTATATGATTGATGTAGGATTATGTAGTACAGCTCACCTAGAGCTTATACTATTGATATCGTTTCATTAACAATGAGCAGAAAAGAAATAAATAAAAATTGTTGGCATTGTCAGCCAACACATTGATTTGATTTTTATTTCTTCATGTTTCATTGAAAATGGATGAATGTTTAACCAATAGAAACAGTATGTCATATACTTCTATCCTACCATATGAAATCAATTGATTCCTTATTTTTGTTATAAAAGATTGAAAAAGAAAATAATCAAGTAATAATGAAACGAAAGTTGGAACTTGTCCTATTAAAGTCTCCTCCTCGAAAAAAAACATTTAGTTATTCATAAAAGGACCAATTTTGAAATTTTCATATGATTAGATAGAGCAGAAAAAGCGCTACCAAATGGCTTTATTAAACTATAAGGGTAAATCCGTGGAATTTCCACCACTCTGTGGAACAAGAGTATTCTGTGCTAGTTTTCTTAGTGAAACATGTTTTTTCCTATCTTAATATCTTACTTACAGGTATCATCGCCGAAAACAGTGAGTATTCCTAAAAAAATAATGTCGATATTCACACTTTATATGTCAAAAAAAAGATTTTAATTGTTGCCCCAGACAGTTTTCGACGATGATACGTTTAATTAGGCTATTAAAATCGAAACATAAAAATTCCACAAAAGTGCTAGAAACCCTATCGATTCACCCATAGGTCTATATTGTGTTTCTTGTTCAAAGTAAATTTTTTTTTTCATTGTTATAATAAAATAAATATAGTATCTTTACCAAATGTGTTATATCTGTCATACCGGAGGATTTGTCGAATATAAAAGTCTAAAAAAACAGTTTTTATCTACAATGACAAAATTATTAATTTATTTTTTAGAAATCAAGTTTAAACTGACTTCTATCATGTGTTATTCCACAAATTCATCCTTTTTATCGAATTGGTTTATGAATCAAAAAAAGAAAGTGAACATTTTCCGTAATGAAACATAAACAAGAAATATATTTTCAATCCATCTTATGAAAGCGTATTCAATATTGATGATATTCTATGATGTCAGAGATGTGATAGAATGTTGATGGTTTATCAATCAAGAGAGAGACAATATGAGAGTGAGGGGTCGTTATGGTGTGCGAATCTAGACCACTTGCCCACAGAACATATCCTCGCCGGACAGATGCCCGCAAGACACTTGCCCGTATGATGCTTGCGCGCACCCTCACCCTCAACATTGTCCATTACGGGCACGTATCACACAGGCAAGTGTCTCGCGGGCATCTGTCCGGCGGGCAACTGTCTAGCAGGCAAGTGACCGTAACCCATGGTGTGCATCTTCTTCAAATTTAGTCATAAGAAATTTTTATCTTTTCTAGAGTGTAGGTGTGGGTAAGTATCCACATCCATAGCACACCCATACCCTTATTCATGAAGATCCTAATCAATATAGAAACACTTCTTTAATATGGCAATTTAACGAAATTTTTTCTTCCAAAAAAATGCCATTCTTCCAAGATCTCTATTGAATACAATTGCAATGAATATATATGAATGGCTTTACTTTGTGAACGACCTTATATAAAAATAGAAATTTCCTAATTGTCTACTTGATTAAAATTGTAATGAAATAAACTAAATGTGCACTGAGTAATCGACTTGTTGTTTAAAAAAGTTGTTTTTGCTTTGACCAGAAATTTAAATTTAATTTATCCTTTGCATAGAGAACAAACTTTTTTGTTAGAAGTCTATGAAAATATTTTAAAATATGACTACTTAATCTTAACATTAGGTAAATGAGACTAGACATATACAAAATAAAAGTAAAGAAATATTTTTAACTTTATTTTAGTTAACGCTGAAAATAATTATTATAACCTTGTATGAAAAGCTAATTCGTTCAAATAATTAGTGAAGCTTTTTTTATCCCTATATGAACGAGAAGTTTATATATAGGCAACGGCTTTCGATCGACTCGTAACGTACTTGAGTATGTCTCTTATTGTATAGTAGTGATCTACATTTAGTGCAGACTATGGATTCGTCATCAGCAAATGTGATGGTACATCACTATCTGTATTGTATCCTGATACATCTTCTTTATAGGAGATATATTATTTCAAAGTTTCGAGAATGTGATCTTTTTCAAAAGCAACTTCGTCCTTCAAGAGTTAAAAGTTAACAGTATCCGAAATACCATTAAAAAGAAAAGAAATTTATCCAAAAATGCCTTCTTTCGGTTTTACGATGCTTTCAAGTTTTTATGAGAAGGTCATAGAAAATGCAGCAACCTCTCATTTTTTTCCGGATTGTTTGTTCTTTAAAATTGCATTGGTAAAAAATAATCTTCTAGGATCTGAAAACTATTGTATCCGGTATTTTAAAAATCTTGATATAGATTGCATTAGACAGAAAACTGCATTAACTATTAAAATTACTATCTCGACTTTAGATAATTGCTTAACATAATAGAAATAAAATCAAAACCATGTTGTTGTTGTTTCTGCTTATCGCTAGATAGTTGTAAACATTTTGTTCTAATGAATCATGAAGGATAGAACTCTCAAAGATAATATCACTAGAGTTCGAACGCAGGTCATTGTTTAATAAATTATTGTTGCAGTTTAATATTAATGCATCTGTAAACTTGGAATCTGAAGGATCAAATCAGAGTTTATTATTGACATCATCGGTTTCTTGATGAAAACACTTTATGTCCAGATTGCAACTCTTGGATATAGCAGAGAGATATGTATCCAGTTTTGTTAGGAGAAGCATATGTCAGATTGTAACGAAATCATTGTAACAGTGACTGATTCTATTCTAATACATGAGAATCAACACGGCTAAACTTCTGTTGGTTTTATTCCGTTCATGTTGAAAATAAATGTAAATAAATTTATCCAAACTTTGGATAAAAACCAAGTTGAAATGTTAAGTATTGTCAATGTGCATAAGCGATTTTTACCATTCTTATCAATGCTATTAGTTAGACAAGAAGAAATCGTATTACTTTTAGCCGTGTATTCTAACGTAATAGTTTAAAAAGTCCTCTACCTATGGTTTCATTGTAATGGGTGGGAGTGATGCGAGAAGTCCAATTGACAGTCTCTTTTTGTAGAATTTCTTAGCAGCAGGAAAAGACTTCGTTGAATGCCGTTAAAAACAAGAGAGTTCGACTGTTATAGAACACGTCAAAGCTGCCCTCGCAATTTGGATGACTGGAAAACGTTTGTGACCATTCAAAATAGTATAGTTTGTTGTTTTTGACGCTGATAAAAATTTTATATACAAAATATCAAGAATAATTAATAATGATTATAGATAAGTGTCACACTTGCTGTAAATAAATAATGTTCGAATAAGAAAAAAGAGGCAAACAAAAAATACAGCGTTATTTAAAATTGTTTTATTCGCGACTGAATAGTCATATGAATGATAATGTTGTTTAAAAAAAAATCATGCATCTGACATATTTATGTAATTGTGAAATACTTCTTATGTTTCTTTTATTTTGTTTTTCAAACATGTGCCAGTTATTACACAATGCTTACAAAGAATGTCACAACATCAGTTTACTCATATTTATATACCGAAACAAATCGAGTTTCATTATCTTTTAAAAAACAAAAACAAAAAATAGAAGTATTATGGCTATGATATATAGTTCTGACAAAAATGGT